TCATTATGTCGTTCAATTTAAACTCAATGTAAAATGAATGCAGCATATCGAATCAAAACATAATTTATTTCATATGGAATCAAACAACAACTTCACAATAAAATATATTGTGACAATGTAACAATAGCAACAATAAAATAACAATAACGGAATCAAACAACAATTAACAATAGAATTAACAATAACAACAACAATAAAATAATAACAACATCTATCACTCGCCACTACAAATCATTCAAATGTATGAAAGAGTTCCGTGACTGCGAGATATTTATCTTTTAAAAATCATTTCAATCAAAAAATTATGAAGTAAGGAATAACAGCATGTCATTCAACATCGCGTGCAAATATCTTGAACAATTATCAGTATACACAGATACTCACTCATTGATGACTGTTGAACAATCAACATGTATGGACCGCTATGAAATCGAGATTAACCACTTACATATCACGGACTGTAAATTCTTCGAAGTAAGTTGACTGTTGTTCTTCTGAAACGATTTGCTCGACATTCATTTCGCATAAAATCAAATTTATCGACTCAACATATCAAAATTAATTTATCAAGTTTTAAGAACTTCCTCTCATGTTCCAATCTGCTCCATTCAGAAAAAATATACGCAGAAATCGTCTTTAGCTTCGTTAAAAGAACAAAAAAAATCGATGATCAACTTGAATTGTATTCATTTTAACCTTCAGAAAAGTCGAAATACGTCCGCTAAAATATGGATGACTGTTACTGACCATACCATTTGGACATTTCTCGATGATTTCATTTGGTTTACTGAAATACCCAACCATATTGTAAAATAACTAATAATATTCAATAAGGAAGAATATGCATTCCGTTTCAAACTCATCACGTTCAACATTTAGATCTCCATTAAAAAAGAAACAACAGATTTAAATTGTGATGTATCGACATTCATATATATCATCAGTAAAATATTGAAAAGAAATAACAACATGAGAAAAGAAAATGAAAAATTAACGAGATAAATAATGATTATAACGAAACAAACCAATTGCTCAAGTCGGCTGATACCCTGTTAGCGCCCGACGAGGGACATCCTGCGCGAATGTTCTTCGCTAATTGTGATATTATCGCATTCGGATGCTGAATTGTATTGTACAATTAAAATTATCGAAATACAAAATCGCCATGTGATGGATATCACAATAACGCAACCAAAAAGAAACACTGATAATAGATGGATGAATAAATGAGTGAATGAATGAATGGTTGAACATAAAAACGTGCAAAAGAACCTTAGATAAAAGATCAGTCTCGAGAATGATCGACGTGGACAACGCATTGCAACAATCTGGATCATTCACTTCTGGTATAAACACATCAAGTGCCGACGATTTATTAACGACACTTCTATCATCATCGTCACATTCAAGCATCGAGTTCAATCGAGGATGTGACTAAATTCAATCAATCTAGTTATCATCCTATGAACCAACCGAACCCTCTCACTTAATTAAGAAAACCCTCTTCCGACTCCCAATAGTCTTTAAAAAATGAGTGAGTGAATGTCAATTCGATATCATTTCCCAATGAACATCAATAAATGGGGAGAATGAAACATCGCCAGCCATATCAATACTAAGTACAACAGAATACGACAAAACGACGAATTCGAAATCAAATCCCTCAAAATCAAATTCAAAATCAAAACTTCAAACCAATAAACAGTAAACGAACAATGAAGAAGGTTCGAATGGCACAAAGAATCGCAATAGTGTAGTTGGTCGGTAATAAGAAAGATATATGTAGAAGTCGTTTAACGAACGCAGCCACTCGACACAGGATCACTTGTTTACGTCGATGATTTATCATCAGATGCAACGATTTCAACAACAGGATCATTTCACGATCACGAACGTCTGCAATACGAATCAACTCGATTACAGGTCGGTTATATAGATCATCCGGATCCAATCAATGTAATAATTTGAATCAAACACAATGAGCGAACCTGGTCGTTTCTCGAAAGGAATGTCGTTCATGATGCGATAAAT